TACATTGGACTGAACACTGGAGTTACTCGGGGCTTGGTGCTGAGCCTCTTCTTCTCACTCTACCTTCTAGCACAAAGTGCTCACACATGCAAGCAATAAGAGAGAAGGATCCTAACTTCCTGACAACTCAAGGTTCGATGCCATCTGCTTGGACTGAACTCCTAGTTCATTTATGCCAATGTTCTTGGGGAATGCTTGTTGTTCTCAGCTAAATCTAATCCTCACTGATGCAATGATCTAACCAAATTCTCAATGATGAAAGGAAAGAAGCAACAAAGAAGGAAATGGAGGTGTGGGACAAAGGTTGGAATTCACTAAAAATACCCTAACTACTTATATGTGGTAGACACTGAGCTAGGAGCTGGTTAACTAAAAAACGAATAAAACACTGTCTTTGGGTAAATAAAACTGTGAGGAAATGCATTCTAGCAAAGAAGTCAAAGTACTACTCTGGCTCCAACACCTCAAACATGGTATGCCAAAACACAGTCATTATCTTCCCCCCCAAAAAAGATACCCTCCTATGTGTGGGGCAAAGGGTAGATGGGAAATCTCTGTATCTTCCCCTCATTTTGGCTAACTTAAAACTGCTCTAAAAAAAAAATAAAGTCTTATTTTTTTAAAAAGATCCCCCTCCCTCCATATTTCCTATTTCTCTAGTGTTCACACTCAAAATATGCGAGTCATATCTGATTTCTTTTTGCACTAACCCTTGTTCTTACTATTCATCATGTTCTAATAGGAAAATATAATTTGTTTTAAGATTATCCTCTCTAAAGTATGATTTCCAGTAATATACTGTGGAGAATACAAATATTTAATTATTTACTAAGTATACATTCTTCCCTTAACTGGACTATAGGTTTGGTATTTTATTTTATTTTTTTGAAGGGCAGACACCATGTGTTAATCCACAATACCCAGCCTAGTCCTCAATAATAAATACTGAAAAACAATCAACAAATGAGTCACAGTCGAAAAAGCTGCTTCATTATGTGCTGTTAGAAAGACCTATGTTTCACATTCAACTTGAAGTGTAGAAACTTTCAAGAAACTCCAACTGCTGTGGTGCTTTTGGATTTGATATGGCAATAACTAGTACAGAGATGAGAGTAATTCACATGAAACTGAGGAAGTCTTTGGGATACACCAAGTGCATAGGTTATAAAAATGGACACTGCTATTATCTATAAGAATATTGTGAAGCAACCCACATGTTAAAGGCGCTACTGAAAAATTAAACCAACCACGGTTCTGAGATTTAACTATTTAAATGAAACCAAAATCCTTCTAATAAATTTAAGACAGCTTTTTAAACAGGTTGTCCTTCTTAATATAAATGTATACAATCCAAACATAGATTTATGCAACATTCCCTCCCCTGCCATTTCAAATTGAGATCATATGTTCTTGGGTCACCTTCTCTAGCTACAAATGTGAATATGAGATAGGAATAAAAATCCCTTTAATATTAACTAAAATAAGATGTAAAGTGGGAATGAAAATCTGCCATTACTAATTAGCTGATAAATTAATTTTACTGGAATAGACATTTCTGTAACAAAAGATGAGCATGTGCCTCTTTATAAATGATAATCAATTTGGAAAAAATAGTCAATTTCATCTGTGAAACAAGACATCGTTCTGCAGTGTCAAATTATTCATTATAATCACGAGAGGCTCTAGAGTCAATATGAAAACAGGATCCAGTAGCCACTTGTGTTTAATTTTAGACTTGTTTGCCTCGGCTCACAAAGAAGCACCCTTGACTGAGAGGCCCTTTGTAAGTTCCACAGCTGCAGAGTTAAATAGTCCAAATGATACTTTGTAGATACAGGGCACTTTAGACTAGAATCTCATCTTTAAAAGAATGAGGGGGTAAGACAGTATAATAAAAGTAACGCTCTACTTTTATAAGAACCTTCTTATAGAAATATTTGGAAGGCATACCTTATTTTCTTTGTATCTACTGAGATCTGCTATGCAGTATTCCTTGAATAATTTATCATAGTATTTCTTTGCAAGTCTTTTCTCCCTAGATTCATAAAAATATATAAATTTTCTTTTAGAAATTTAACCATAGTTTGCTACTTGGAAGCAATGTCAAATAAATAATGCATATGATATAAATATTAATGTTATAAAAGAGGTCTATTACTTACACGTGCATAGAATTCTGAATATGAACTATTATAACTGCTCTTTCAGGAAGGGAATCTAGAAGACTGACAGTCAGACATGAGAAAGAGCCTTACTCTTCACTTTTTAGCCTTTGTAATGTTTGGATTTTTAGGACCATTTTCAGGTATTACTTTTTTTCCAAAATATTTTAAAATTTTAAAAAGAAGCATTTTACAGGGCAACAAAATCATTTCTTAAATGTTTTTCTTTTTAACACAAACTCAAGCAATGGGAAGTCAGTTAAAAGTTACCAAAAGAACCAAACTAGACTCAGTAATCTGAAGCATGGTTTTATGGCCTCAATTCAGATTTGTTCTATGCAGGGTAAGAGAGACAGAACAAAAGCATTTGATGCATTATGTGTGAGATGACTAAAATTACCAATTCATGTCCACTTCATCCTCCTCATTCCAGAGGAATCTATGATTTTCTCGTATAACATCCATGTCTGTCTTGTCATTTTCCCTGGAAAATAAAACTATTTCAATCTAATATAAACACTGAATTAGTCAAATTTAGGAGGTGAAACAGTTTTTGAGGCTTTTGAAGACCTAAGTAAAAATAAAATACACAAAGATAAAGATAGTTTTATGTGTATGCATATATGTACATATATTTGTAAAAATTATTTCAGTACTTTTCAAATGCACTATAAAGGGTGCTACTACCGAAGCAATTTAAATGGATAAGAAACTCATCCATCTTTGGCACTGATTGCAATTATACACATGGTGCTAAATAACCAAAGCTAGAATGAGAAATCTGAGTAAACATTAAATGGACAAGGGAAAATGTATGAAAATAACTTTCAGAAAATAAAAAAATGTCAACAACACTACCCTATTGAGATCTAGTTTTAAAATTATATGAAGAGTTTTCCATTCCTCATTTTACTATAGCTTCCTAGGAAGGCAGTAAGGAAGAGAGTTGAAGGGTATAATTTTTCCGGATGCTAACAGTATAGGTTTGTAAAACAAGGGATGGTAGGGGAGCACAGGCCAAACTGAGAGGGAGGTAAGTCTGGGATAGATGATATGGTATAAAGTGTTTTAGGGGTCTCCCAATTCAGAAAATTGTTAAGTCAGAGGGAAAAATCCATACAAAACCAAGAGGCTCTCAAGAGAAGAACCCCAAATATAGGAAGCAATTTCACGTGTGGGAAATATTAGAGTGAGGTTTCTTGTTTTCCCTACCTTTAAAAAAGCAATCCCAAACACGGAGGTTTAAAAAGTTCAGAGATCCTCAAAAAAACCCAAAAACCTGCATAACCAGGTACATGTGTATTCCTCACAGTCTGTTATTGCCAGGGGCAGATCTAGCTCTGCAGATCTACCTAGTTACTAGAAAAATGGGGTTCATGAGAAGCTGCTTAGCTAGAAGCTATGGATGGTCTCTCTACTTTATGATACAACAGAGGAAAGCAGAGGAAAATTATAGAATGGAAACAGAGGAAAACTATAGAACCAGAAGACATAGTAGCTATGGGTCTTAAAAAACATCCCCACTCTCACCTCTAATTCTATGTAAACTTCATGACACTTACCCCAATCGCCTGAAATCTTCTTTTTTGCCACCATAATATAAAATATAGTCATTTACAAACTTTGCATGCCTTTGATACTGAAATGCAAAAAATTAAGGATTTTATTTAAGAGTTGGTTTTGTCCATGACATATTAGTGAGTAGAAATGAAAAGCGTAGTATGCTTTTTTTATACGTAAATATATACTATACAATTCTTATAAATTCAAAGATCGAAAAAGGTAAATATTAGACTATTACATATGAACATTACAGAAAACAGGGACTTTCACTTTCTACTGAATACTGTTTATATTGTTTTAAACTTTTCTTCAGCACATACTACTCATGATAAAACATATCTCTACCAGTGAGAAAGAAAGTTTCCTCTTCTACTACTAAACTACATATAGCCTCACACCACCACTCATTTTACTCGTCACAATATGAAAAAGTGTAGTTAAGGAGTACAAAAATTAAAGGTAAGGAGAATTTACCTTTCACTATTATAAAATATAATTTAGCTATTTTAGTAATAATAAAACTTCTAAAAATAGAAGATGCAACTTCTATAATATTAGACCCTAACATTAGGCTTTCAAAAAACAGTAAATATAATAAATAAGATGTTATTTTTTATACCTTTTTTTAAAAAAAATATGTATTTTTATTGATTTTTTTTTACAGAGGAAGGGAGAGGGATAGAGCGTTAGAAACATCAATGAGAGAAACATCGATCAGCTGCCTGGTACATGCCCTTGACTGGAATCAAACCCGGGAACCTTCAGTCCACAGGCCAACGCTCTATCCACTGAGCAAAACCGGTCAGGGCTTTTATACCCTTTTTTAATATTCAAAGAATCCACAGTCATGTTTATTTTTAGTGCAGTATAACAAGATATATGAGGTTAAAGCTTAATGGTACTTTCTAGAACAGGGGTCCTCAAACTACGGCCCGCGGACCACATGCAAATACAAATATTGTATTTGTTCCCATTTTGTTTTTTTACTTCAAAATAAGATATGTGCAGTGTGCATAGGAATTTGTTCATAGTTTTTTTTAAACTATAGTCTGGCCCTCCAACGGTCTGAGGGACAGTGAACTGGCCCCTTATTTAAAAAGTTTGAGGACCCCTGTTCTAGAAGTGAACATACACATATAGATCTTACCGCACCTATAATACTATCTGTGACTACATCCTATTATATTAAAGACTAGAGGCCCGGTGCACAAAAATCATGTGTGTGTGGGGGGAATCCCTCTATGCCGGCCTGCACCCTCTCACAGTTTAGGAGCCCTTGAGGGATGTCCCCTCAGGGAGCGGGCCTACACCGTCAGTTGGACATCCTTAGCATTGCTGCGGAGGGGGTAGAGGCTCCCACCACCGCCTCTGCATTGTGAGCCCGGCTTCTGGCTGAGGAGCGCTCCCCCTGTGGACCACCAGGCGGCAGTTCCTGCATTGAGCATCTGCCTCCTGGTGGTCAGTACATGTCATAGCGATTGGTCATTCTGCTGTTCAGCTGATTTGCATATTAGCCTTTTATTTCATAGGATAGTGACTTAATTGATCACAATGTGTTCTAATAGAGTATCAAATCAGAATATACTTCCAAAACTGGAAACAAAACAGTTAACATGTCAGAAAAGAAAAAAGAGAAGAGTCAAATATCTGGAGATATGAGTTCTAGCTCTTGGTCTCTCACTCATGGATCATGTGACCTTAGCAAGTCATTTAAATCTTTTAGAACTAGGATCAGCAAACATTTTTTGTAAATATGTGGGCCATATGGTCTCTGTTGCAACTGTACAGTTCTGCCATTCTAGTATGAAAGAAGGCACAGATAACATCTAAATGAATGAGCATAGCTGTGGTTCTAAAAATCTATTTCCAAAACAGATGGAGCTTTTCTTCCAGGAAGATGGAGTAGACAAAGATATACTTTTAAATACTATTTTACAAAGACCTTAACTACCCAAGAAGGGGTAGGAAGAGAATGAATTAAAATGAGACAGAAGACAAGCATAGTATAAAAATGAGAAATGTTGTGATCATGGTAAAACAGGTTAGAAAAAATATTTGCAAGTTCATTAACTTTGTAAACATATTTTTGGAGCATTGAGAGTATGTTATATTATTTTTGTCTCTCAATCTTTTTTATATACGATATTAGAAAGAAAAAAAGAACTGTACTCAAAAGGAGAAATGACAAAATTCAATAAACACTTTAAAAGTAAAATAATAATCTGGCTTTATAAAATTTTATAAAATAAAAAAGATTTTAAAATATTCTATTTGTTCTAAAAACCTAGAAATATAAAAAGGATACAGCATCCATAGCTATGAGATGAAACCTTCTATTTCTTGCTTCTTCCCTGTTAAGACAAATTTTATTTTAAGCAAATTCCAATGTCTATATTCTAATTAATATATTCAAATCTTCAAGTCACCGAGCTTACAAAAACATCTTAAATCAAACAAAGTAATTTATGTTGAAATACTATACCTATCCAGCAATTCTTCTGCAACCTGTTTATGGACCACCTTCCCATGTTTTTCTTTCTGAAAGGGCTTTTGGAGCAGTAAATCATCTTCAGTGGTCCTGGTTTATTAAGAAAAATTATTAAGAGTTTATTTTTCTCAAAGGGTTTCTTGTTTCTTTTTAACTTCACAATTGGAACATGTTTTAAAGAATTTAAGTCTTAACTTAAAAAGACTCACTGATCTTTAATGATACACTTTATGTTTCCTTACATGTCCTAATTAATATCTTAACTTTCTTTTATACCTATAAAATGGAGACGAAACTAACAAATGTATGAGTCCTGGTGTCTGACCCACAAGGTTCCTGGGTTCAAATTCTGGCTCTGTCATTCACTATCTTTTGTTTGTTTTTTTAATATATTTTGATTTTTTACAGAGAGGAAGGGAGAGGGATAGAGAGTTAGCAACATCGATCAGCTGCCTCCTACTGGGGATGTGCCCACAACCAAGGTACATGCCCTTGACTGGAATCGAACCTGGGCCCTTTCAGTCCGCAGGCCGATGCTCTATCCACTGAGCCAAACCGGTCAGGGCTCATTCACTATCTTAATCTTAAATAAAACTAAGTTACTTAAGTTTTTTGTGCCACAATTTCCCTGTTTGTAAAGTAGAGATATCGAAGTTTTTGGGAACTGATAATATGAAAAAAAGGGTTGGTTATAGGTAATAGAGACTATAATGGTTAGCCCTAGTTAGGAAGGTATATGTAACCCTAGAGCAGAGAAGATTATCTAGCTAGATTTGCTCAAATTCTATTCTTACAAAGTAATACTTTTGAATGAAAAATCTCAAAAAATGGAAAGCACCATAAAATGTAATTTGTTATAATTCTTTCTATTCTTTTGGTTATCCACGAAGACTTGAATGCCCAACAAAAATATTCAGTCCCAATTAGTATGTCTAATATATTGCTCTCAGTGTAAAATAATAAACCAATTTTTATAAGTTTGACTAATCAATCAGTCAACTACTCCTAAGTTACTAGATAAAATCAAGTTTCTAAACACTGGAATCTGAAAACTACACCCCTAATAGCAATCCCACCAAGATGTAGTAGCTTCCTTATAAGGCCCCGGCTCTATCGGCTGACAGATCTTGTCCCTTCCAAGTCAATAGAACGCCCATGAACACCCCCACACTAAGCTTATTCTGAAGTAAAGCACTAGCAAAGGGACCACCAACCACGCCCCGTCTTAGCTATGACATCTGCAAGTAAAAAGTCCTTCCTCCCCTTCCACTTCCATAAATCCCTTCACAGCACAAACATTTTCTAATTTTTCCCATAACTGTTCTCAAATCTTTAAACAAAAATTCATTCAGTAGAACATCGTTGTCTTCACCTACAAGCACAATTCAAAAACTTTCAATATTATTTCTTTATACTTCATCTCAATCTAGAAAGGATCCAAAACACAGCTCAATACAAAATTACCTTTTTTTCCTTTTGCTAGATTCTCCACAGTGTTCATCATCACTAAAATCAGAGTCGTAGCCTCCATGACCATGCATCTGTAAAGCATAAAGTCAGTTACTAAGAATCTAAGTTGCTCACTACTCATGAAACAGAATAGTTCAAAAATAAATTATCTTTAAAAAAAACTTATCTTTAAAAGCCAAAATAGTTTAAAAGGTTGTGGTGGATATATCACTGTCCCCCGGCTATCTGTGCACATATAACATTCATTTACTCTTAAATATCAGACATATCCTCCTCAAAAAGTATAAATATTTTTAC